GCTTGTGAAAAGTTTGATAAAACCATCCTCTGCCATACCGAGGTGCACAGCAAGTTAAGGACACTGTGACGAAACAAAATCAAGTTGATCAAGATCGATGATGAAAACGTGGATTATCAACGTGTCAAAAGTATCAACATCATATCTGTTGCTCAAATAAAGAAGCAGCCTTTCCGAAATTGTAATTATTAAAAAACGTATTGTGTTATACGATTTTGTGAAATGAAATCAAAATGAGGTGCCTTCGAAGTTGGACAGTACAGTGTTGAAGTAAGACGAAAACACTACACTGAACTTTACAGCCTCATTTTCTTTTTCAGGCTCTTGTTCCTGGCCATTATCGTCCCCGCCTGTATTCTGTGTAGACGTTTCTTTACTGGATCGGACCAGATTCATTATAAGGTAATTACCGCTTAATCCCTGATTGAATTTTCAGGTATCTCATCAAAAAGTTGATAAAATATAACTACTGTGAAACCTTTACCTTGGTCTTGCTGTATATTAAAACAATTTGTATCATCCTGTTGGAAAATTACTCAACACCTCTGTCATGGTTGTAGGTTTCTACATTCTTGTAAATACTAACAAAAACAGTGGCTACAACATTGAGTACATTGCAATAACTTAAAACTTCTAGGAACGACGACATAATTGTTTTTCGAACAAGTGCCTCTCGGTATCAAGGCTCAATTCAAACATCATGGAACTTCGGAAGCCCTTGAAGATGCTTTCGTGACAAAGAGACATTTCCTGAAATTAATTTCTCAATTCTTGCAAATAGCAGTAAATCCAGGTAGAAGTTCATTGATGACCTACTGTTCATCAGATATTAGCGCCAGAAATATACCAAGTAAATCCAGCAAACTGCCCGAATACAGATAACACCCACTCAAGATTCAGGGCTACAGAGTATGGAACAGAAATGGGCACAAGGGTCGCTTGCCTCTGTTCCCCAAAAGCACACCTGGATCGTGCATTGGAGGTACACTGTATGTTAGCAGTGGGCTCATCCGAAAGTGACCTTTGGTATAAAACAAACAAAATGTTGTAATAATACATCCACAACCCACGTGCCAATTCTGGTATTAAAAAAAATAATAAACAACAGAAAGATCTACTGTTATAAATTTTTCCAAGTCAAGACTTCTCGTATGCTTAACATATCAGGGTGAAGGGTTATAAATAAAAATGAATCATCCTCATCCAGTCACTTTGGCAAAAACATAAGCTCAATATGAAAGAGAGAGAAATAGCAAGAAAGAATCAGTGTTCAAAAGACGTATCAATCCCAGGTCCAAAATAAACATCCAAGTACACCTACTCGCCAGTGAGTAAATATAACACAGTAATAAACAAAGTACTTGAGATCAGATCTGTACATCGTATCAGCCTAAGTAGTGCGCGCGATTTATTTGTAAACATATCTCTGAAAATACACTTAGTTTCTCGCACAAAACCGAATTTAAATGTAATAGTTATAGACATTGTTTAATCAAGACGAAATTTTTAAAAACAAAAACACTGTTTTGAAAACGTAAATCTTATAATTCTATATTCTCTATTTCTCTTCCCTGCCGAGCAATATAAGAATGTTGTTAAACAAAATATAATTTAAGTCCTGTTAAAGATGCATTGGAAATATCCCACAAATGTCATTGTACAATGCATTTCTATTTGCTTGTTTTTCGTGGGCTCGTTTCTCTGGCCAGTTGCGTATCAGCTTGTCACCGCCCGTCCTAGATTGCACTCCCTTAAAAAAAATTGCCGATGGCCAAACGTCTACTAACTTGAAAAATCTTCTGAAATTCTTCTCAGATTTCTAAGCAAAGAAGCATTTCATAATTAAAATGATAAAAATCAGGCACAATGAACAACCTAACCCAGGTGAACCTGTATTGCCGACCAATAATTATTATATCACACTTTGGTTCCAAACTGATATGCCGAGTAAAGCAAAGTGAGTGCAACAAATTACTTGATTTGAAAATCAATATTCAAGCAAATTATACTTCACAAATAACACTGTGGTGTGTTTCCCATCTTCGCTTTACAAACGCCTGTTGCATTATTCAATATATTCCGACACTGTCAACAAAATTGACTGACAACAAAATTTCGGGCCAATTAGCAGTTTATCAGTCAAACATTTATTTTCTTATCACTTAAGTAGTGTTTCTGTGTACTGCAGCTGCGGTAGACCGATTTGACATCCCGCAGCCGCAATCAGTCCTTCACATTGGTCTTTGGCCACCTGGTCTTGTCGTGGGCGAGTAGCTGTAGGCAATGGATGTTTCGCGGTGCGGAGGGGTCCGAGTCCAGCCCGTTTGAGGTCAGCACGTGTTGTGCCCAGTAGATTTATGCAATGCCGTCCTGGTCTGGGTTTGTAGGCTTGAGAGCCAGTAACGGCAAAGTCTAAGGCTCTCTGAGCGGGTGTGTCAGGGTCCATACGTAGGACATGGCCTAACATTGACCATCTTTGCTTTGTGACCTTTGATGAGAGGGGTTCTTTACTGCACAGTTCGCATAGTGCCTGGTTGCTGATAAGGCTCTTTGACCAGCAGTGACCTGGGATGATACGGAGGTATCTGCGGTGGCACGCGGTTGTCAAGCATGACTTTGGGTGCTGCCCAGCTGTTACAGTTGTAGAGCATGATTGATATGCAGTATGCGTTGTAGAGACGGAGTCTTGTCTTCAGCGGGATCTTGGTTCGCCGGCTCCAGAGTTTCCGTAACGTGTGGAATGTTACATTGCCTTGAATGCAGCGAGCTGTGATGTCTGAAGTGCTGCACAGTAAGGAGCCCAGGGTCTTGTTCTTGCGACAACTCTCGTTGCCGCGGACAGCCTTTCCGTGCGAGTCTGTCTCCGTGGCTTCTGCTAGGTCTTCGTCTCATTCATTAACAAGTTTTCGACTTTTAGTTTCTCCGCTGCTATTGGCTGGAGATGGTCCAGGGGTTTCTTTTCTTCGTCCAGGAAGTCAACATTTTCTGCGTACTCCATTTCTAGTGTCAGACCTAGGCTGGAGCCCGGTGGGTTGGGTCTGTTGGAGCTTTCTTGGACGGATGAAAGTGCAGCAGCAGGTGAAAGGTGAAAGGACTAGTGATAGGCTATCACCCTGGGGGATCCTATTGAGGTCTCAAATGAGTCTGACAGCTCGTTTTTTACACGGACCCTGAGCTCTGTCCCTGCTAACAGTGATCTTGCTAGTCTTAGTTCATCTTCGTTGCAGCCTGCTTGTAGTGGGACATCTAGGATTCGTTTCCGCTTGATGGTATCAAAAGCTCGCGACACATCAATGCTCATCTTGTGGAAATCCCATTTCCTTGTCATAACAACTGAGGTCAGCATGCATTGTGCCCATACAATGTCTGCGCAGCTCCTGCCTCTTTTAAAACCACTTTGATATGGTCCGGTGAAGCAGTCGATCTTGTCTCTGATGCGGCGTAGAGTGATGATGGACAACATATTTCGTATGCCGTTCAGCAGGGCTATCGGCCGGAGGTTGGCTGGTGGGCCGGGGGGGGGGGGGGGGCTTCTCTGGCTTGGGAAGAGTGATTAGTGTGCCTTCTCCTAGTGTCTGTATGATCATGTGATGCTCAAACGATGAGTTGATGGTTTCGGCCAGTGGGCGGGAGACAAGGTGTTTGGAGTACTTGAAGAGCTCGCTGTTGATACCGTCTGGACCGGCAGCACGGCCATTTTGGAGTGCAGTGATGGCGGTCTTGACTTCCTCAAAGAGGTTGTTAGTTGATAAGAAATCAAGAAGAGCATCGCCATTTGAGTTGCATTTGAGGTGAACGCCAGCCTCAGCATCTTCGGGGGTGAGCTTTCCCAACTTGGAGTTGAAATCACCGCAGATGAAGAGCTTCCATCTAGAAGGAATGGCTATCAAGGAATCTATTTCAGCATAGAACTTGTCCTGGAGGGTTGGATCCTGTGCTGCACGTTCGCTGGTGGGTCCATAGGCATCGACCACTTGGCATTTCAATTGTGGTCCACTTCTTGTAGGGAGGGTGAAATATAGTATGGAGACCTGATCACTTAAAAACTTGTATGAAGTGATGTGGTTGAGAAGTCTTGGACTGATGACAAAGCCTAAACAGCGGTAGGAGGAGGCTTCCTTCTGTTTCATGAGTGCCAGCTTGTATCCTGACCGAAGTGTCTGTTCCCAGTGGTCTTTGGTCTTTGATCTTTGTTTCTTGGATGCACAAGATGTCAATGTTGTAGTGTTTGCAATCTGTGCAAAGTGTCTCTCTTTTTGATGCGGCGGACAGGCCGCGGACGTTCCATGTACCAATGGCAAACTCCCAAGGTAGAGGCTTTGCTCTGATTTGCCTGGCGCATGGTCGAGGAATCATGTGAAGGGTAGACATAGTTGCTGAGGGTCGAGGGGTTATCCTTTTACCACCCTGAGCATATGCGGATGTCAGCCCGCAAACCTGACAGCGATTGGTTTCACAGCGTTACGTTGCTGTAACTTGCAGGGAAGGCCGAGTGATTATTCACAGGAGGCTGCTGTCATCTTCCCCAATCACTTAAACAACAACGAATATCTAAAGCAAAAACACTCACACAACACTATCAATTATCATCATCTTGGCACAAAATAGTGGGAACCTATTGCGAAACTGACTAAACATATTAAAACAAAATACGTTAGAACAAAACCAGATGTACGATGTCATATGCACATTCAAGGACACGTCCTCGTCAATACAATTCATTGACATACAAGCCCTTCAAAATCTGTTTATCTTTAGGTTATATCGCTCTGACTTTAGTCGTTCGTGTATGGAATGGGATGAGTTCCTTTCGTTTCCAGCACCTCTGTTTGCTATAGCTGCGTTTGGAGAAAAAAAAGTGGCCAACTTTAAATTATTTAAAATACTGCACTAAGAAATCGATACAAATTTTTCACCACACAGTACCTAAGTCATAATTTGATTGATTTTAAGAACATTGATCGTGATGTAGAATTGCATCATTTATCTGTTCCACAGGGATGGCTACTGCTACATCGGTAGGCTCTGCTTTTAAGAAGATCGGCACCCATCTTGAGTGCAGCATCTGCACAGAAATATACAAGCAGCCGAAAATACTGACCTGCCTCCACAACTTCTGCAAGGAGTGTCTCGTAAAATACCGTGATGGCACATACCGAGGATCTCCACAAATTCCTTGCCCTGTATGTCGTCAGGAGATGGTACTACCACAGTCTGGCATCCAGGGCCTCAAGACCAACTTTCATTTGGTTGCTTTGATTGAGGAATTTGAATTACAGGAGAAGGTAGCATGCTCAGGATTGAACTCGAAGCTTCTCTGTGAGACATGCGACGAGGATAACGAGGCTTTATATCACTGTCTCGACTGTGGAATGAATATCTGTACGTCGTGCCGCAAGGCACACCTACGGTTCACAGTTTCGGCAAACCATGCAGTAGCAACTTTAAACGACATTCGTCAGGGGAAGGTGAACCTGACTAAACAACCGGCCCAGTCCAAATGTCACAAACACAAGGAGGGCATCACACAATTCTATTGCAAGACATGCGATGAGCTGATATGCCAAGTATGCACTGTCTTAGATCACTCTAAACCCGATCATGACATCATCGACATCGGAAAAGCTTCAAAAGAATTTAGACAGTCACTGGAGAAAGGCTTTCCTGCTGTCGAAAAAGAGATAAAAGGCCTTGAAGTATCCCTACAGGGTGTGGCTGCATCTAAGAAGGTTTTGAACGACAACACGACAGAGGCTCGAAAAAAGGTGCAGGACAGAGCTGCTGAGGGCAAAGCAAAGATCAACGCTGAAGAGAAACGACTCCTGGATGAGATCACTACGCAGGAACATGAGCAAAACAAGCGACTGGTCGAGCACGAGAAGACATTAAGCAATTCACTTCAGAGAAAGAAACATTGCCTACAGACCAGCCAAGAAGTAACGAGAAATGCATCAGATTCCCACTTCCTTTCCCTCCATCCCGTGATCAGCAAAGACATGGACAAGCTCAGAGGTCAACCAACTCCCAAGATGGCAGGGTTGAAGTTGCATCCCGTGTTCGTTAAGAGCAAGAAGCTTGACATCGATCTGGGCAAGGTGATGGTGGAAGACACATGGGAGATAGGCCATTCATTTGGCAAGAAGGGTAGTGGTAAAGGGGAGTTTGAATCAGCCAGAGGCATTGCTGCTGCTGCTGACCCTGACGAGATTGCTGTGGCTGACTGGAAGAATGATAGAGTGGTAATCTGCAACAACCAGGGACAAACCAAGAATACCATTCCGATTGACCCAAGTAAGTAATTTGTGTGCATACATTTTAATTTCTTTTTCCCATTTAACCTGCAATGAAACTATATTGGCCTATTGGATTTTATATTATTTTCTCGTTCCGTTTTATTCAGCGATTAAAAATGTTATCCGCGTCCTGCACACCCTTGTTCTTTTTTTTTTTCATAAAAAGTGCTAAGAATCATTTGTTCTTTTTCTCAAATAAATTGGTAAGAAATTTAAATTTCAAAGACCCAATGATACAGAAACAAAAAAAAACGGTGCTTTCAATGGGCCTCATCCACAATACCTTCCATTAATCATAGACATTATAAAAAAACATCAGTTTCATGATTTCCGATTCTCTCCTGCGTAAAATCACAGTTGTTTTGAAGTGGCATTGTAGTTGCTATATATACCATCCAACCAAGCTATTTTGTATTCCTTTTTTGAGAGGCCTGTCCTGTTTGCCTTCGAATTAAAGATAATGTCCGTATCCTAATTTATCCATAATTTGTTGTCCAACAAAAGCAACACACACAAAAAAATCGGGGCAAGTGAAATGCAATTTTACCTAAAAAGATGAACAGCACCAAACCCACTCTTTCATGTGTTTTACTAAGTAAAGAACACCACCTGGTGCCAGAAGGTGAATTCTTTTCTACACCAAATGAAAAACTCAAATACGATGCTTGTGAAACAAAGGCTTGAATACTTAAACATACTTTTTCATCCCATGTAACATCCACAGTTTATGATGGCCATTCTTTGGCGAAACAAAATGTTTTTAATTAAAACCTCTATGGTTATTATTCAAACTCATCCGTGCACGTTGCATATGCGTTTTAGATTAAAACTGCTCCGAGTGAATTGAACATGAGAAGGTCTGTGGTGGATCACAATCACTTGACCATCAAACAGTCAGATATTTCTGTTAATTATTTGAATGATTTTTTTGACAAGAGTAATTAGTCGAAATACTTTCAATTATTTTGTTTTCCAGATGACGTCGTTGCTGTATCGAATCAGTGGGTGTGTGCTCATCCCAGCAAGATGATGGTTTACCATAGGGACACCACGCACAAGTTTGATTTCCGCACTGTGCCAGAGGATGAGGTTGGCAAGACGGTCGTGCAGCTCGTGAGCGTGGCTGTCATGCCCAATGGTAACATCATAGCGGGTGATAAGGTGAGGAAGGTATTGACTGAGCACAATCCTAGGAATGGTGATATCCTACACACCATGCCGGTGAAGATAACACCTGACTTCTTGGCTGTACTGAGCAATGGTTGGATTGTGATCAGTGACAAGGAGCAGGGACTAGTGGAGACAGTGAAGGTCTCTAATGGCAACGCTGTGACTGTTAGCACAATCCAGCCAACCATCGACGGTAAACCGGCGAAATACTGCGGGGGTGTTTGCAGCAACAGCTCGGGTATCTACCTTGCAGTGGTCACAGGCAAAGTCCACACCGGTCACATACACCACTATAACTGTGCATGTCAGTTTGTCAGCTGTGTGGCCCAGGGTTTGTATGACCCCTGTGGAATCACGTTCACAGCTGCAGATGGTGGGCAGCAGCTGGCAGTGGCTGACTGGCACTCAGTTAAGATATATCACAAGGTGTGATGCCGACGATGTCATCCAGTATTAAACCGCCCTTCCAATGCCCGCCTTTGGATATGTTTATGCCCGCTTGTATCAGACCTAATGGAGGCCTAGGTATAAAATTAAATACATAAAAACAAACAAAATACAAATTATAACAAGGACTGACAACGTGCATGTTGAATGATGTCCTAATATTGTCTCCCGTATGTATCCGTTATTTTAATTATATAAAATATCCGAAAGCAAAAATGTCATATTGTTATAAAATAGCTCACTTGGTTGCTTCAGGAAACTATAGCGACTTGATACTTGTATTTTTTTGGTGGAAAATGGGAATTTTCTGTCAGTTTTGCAAGATCACTTGGCCGCAGTCGACTTAAGTTTCCTGTGCCTACTTTTTGAAAAAAAAAAAATTGATTACAAGTTTCTCTCCTTTGGAGGTCAACGAGTGGAGAGGAAAGCTGGGTAGGGTCATTAAAGAATTAAAAAAATCAGAATATTATGTAAATAGAATTATTTGAGCGAAATTGTGTACTGTACAGCAACATTTCAAATTGTTGAAGCATATTTTTTTGCAATGGAAATCGACAGGTTATTTTGAAATTTTCAATTATTTGTATATGAGATTATTTGTATGAATATCAGTCGTTTTGGAGGTGTTTGTTGATTACTAAGGAAATACTTGATTAAAAGAATAAAGATATCATTGGATGTGTTGGCAAAACGGCCATTACCGAAGTTAAAAAGATATGAAAAATTGTATTAAAACTTTTGTACATTTACATCCAAATCGACCGTAGTTTTGCATAACGATTGCAACATGTATAAAAAGGTCATGTGAATGTTGTGGACAAAAAGTGTTAATGTCTCAGGATCCATCATCAACTTTTCTAGAAGCGAGCAATACAGGAAAATGAACTGCTTGTTTTGAAAATATATGAAAAAAGAAATGCTCAGAAAGGTGTTGTTAGGAATATAAGATATAATATGGAATAAAGTACATTTATGATTCATGTAATTAGAATAAATCATTTTAGGCACAACTGACAATCATGTATTTTATACGACATCCACTATGTGGAATGGTTTTCAAATCTAATATTCGATTAAAAAAAGAATGGTTTACAGAAACAACTACTGGCGTGTACATAGCTAGCTTATTTTCACATTCCCTAACACATTTATCGAATTACTTTGGAAAATTCTTTTTAATACTTCACTGCAACAACATTGATATAAAAACGAAGTGCGTTAATGAATTGTGTACAATTATAAATAAGGTCCGAAAGCGTAATTTACGAAATTTGATTTTATTTCTAATAAATGGGCCAAAAAACATCACTATAATAATAACAGAAAATGGTGCCTTTCTGTGATTTTGTATTTGTCTACAGTATTTAGTCTTGGTTTTGGGTTTACTTTGAATTGGCTTGGTTTGGGCTGGGATGAGCTAGGTTCATTGGGTTGGGTGGGTTTTGTTGGGATGGGCTGGGCTTCTACGTAATTTGAAAACCATGACAAACGTTGATTTGGGCAGAGGACACGCAAGAAAGTACTCGTTGCATATACTTATCATTTAGTTTTAAACATTAGCAAAACCCTAAACGTAACTGCCCTAAAGCACGGCTGAATGCACAATCCATAAATATTCCGTCTCCAACATTGATTAGTCAGCAAACCAGATGCTCCATTACCTGAAATTGTAATTCTAAGTAATGTTAAATGCCGCAACAGGTGCTGTTTAACTCGTCAGCTTCTTGAAGAGCGCCACCATGATTGTCAGCCGACTCTACCACGGTCGTGAGACTCATGCCGCATAACAGACCGAGATAGCATCCAATGTCAGCTTTAGAAATAAAATGCATCATGTGTCAATGATGGGTCTTAGAGGAATGTCAAACAATGCTTCTAAAAGGATGCTTGAGAACCTAGACGCATGCAACTTGACTGCACGCCTCAAAGCAAGTTTCGTTGATGCATTTAGATTTGTGTGGCAAAGGCCAATCCAGGCACGCTATCAATTTTATCACCAAGGTCCCCAAAAATGGCAAAAGCATCGTGATAGCTTGGAAATCTGTCATGGGCCAGTTGGTTTGTACCATAGCGTGCACAGTGGTTTCTACATTGAAGTGGTTTCTCCATTGAAAGTGTACAGTGATCACGTGCGGAGATTCGTCTATACCAATAATGAGAGACTTTGGAGACTTTGGTGGCAGCAAACACGTCGGTCCTTTTTCAGTAGTTTGCGTCATGTTGAACATGCGCGCTTTAGCTTAAAAATGGGCCTCAGTCTAAACAGTTGATTCGGATGCAGCCTTATTTAGACGTGAGCGTCGGGAATAATTGTCAGGCCTGGGAACCAGACTACCACCGGGCCAGTGCTCCATAGGCCTTTCTTTTGTTTGTAAACATTGGCGCCATTTTGTATGGGCTGCCGTAAGCGCATAAATTGAAGCCGTGGTTGGCAACATATTTTTCCAAAAAAAAAGTCCTCATAACGCCATCAACACATAGTAAAATGGCATGTGTAGGAATTATTTTGTAGCTTTGTTGAAAATGTTGTATTTTCAACTTATCAACTAATATTTTGGTGATATGTAATAACTCTTCTTCATTTTTGCAGTGTTGGACCTTCCATAGATTTGCAGGCCGCGGTTGGCAAAAATGCAGTTTGCCAACCAAGCGCAGAAAGGTCTATAGGGACGGCCCAACATGGCCGGCTGTGAACGGTTGACATCGTTTTTGAAGACACGCGGTTCGTACATGTAAACGTACGGTCGGAAACTACAAAAACGATACCCACCTAGGGAACGCAAAGCTATTCGCAATAACTCGTAAATCCTGTAATAATATAGTTTAATATCTCATTCATTATGCTGTGATAAGTGGCATGTTTGTGCAAACTGGAAGAACATAAAAATCTCAACTTCAGTTGGCCCTTTTTGCCGATTATTTCATGGATATGGAAAGCAAACTACGATCTAAAACGACATTTTCTTGAAAATAGTGCTTTTAAACAAGGGCGCCTCCTCAACTCCAATGAGTGATATTCCACTCCCAATTTGAAACCCGCTTGTAAACGATCGAACGGGAACTTTGAACAATATTCCCGGCTGTTTACAAAGTGAATTTCAGTTGGGTGAAACAAAGTCTTGTAGGCGCGGATCCAGAGTTTTTGGGTCAACCCCCCCCCAGCTCTGTCTCAAAATATTTTTTTTCATAGGAATACATTCAAAATGATGTGCCCCCCCCCGATCTGACGCCCTCAAAAATATATGATCATCAAACTGTCAATAATATCCGCCTGTGCACAGAATTGTGTCAGAGCCGTGGGTTAATTACGGGAGTATTTCTACACTATCCTGTAATTATAGTGTTGATGATCGTTGAATTTGAACAGCGCCCCCATTAAAGGTATAGTACGAAAAAAACTACTAAAGAATGTGCGTCCGAATCCCTATGCTTGTGCAATACTGCAAGGAATAAACAGGTTTTTCGCACTGCATGCCATATGCAACTTAATTACGCGACTCAGTATGCTCTATTCAATGAAAAATGCAAGAGGGCGCTCGCAATGCTTCAACATCATTCGCATCGCTAGTGCATGTCAAAAATATAAGACATCGACAGCCGGGACCTGGCAGCACAATTTCTGTAATTTAAGTCTGGCCGGTCACAATATATCGGATATTTATCGGTATTTATGTGGAATCCCGATATAGGAAACCGCGGCTGTGCATGCACACAAAATCGCTCGGGTAATATGTGGGGTTCTTTTTTGCTATGACACCGCTGCTGTTTATTGCGTGCTGGGGGATTTTCCCCGATGAGAAATCATTTTGTGTGCTGAGCACGGTGAGAAAATGGCACACATGCATTGGATGGAGCACGTAAATGTCGGGGAGTGACAACCAGCCTAAAATTTAACGGAATTGTGCAGTGTTAGTGATGAAAGTTCCAGGAAGTGAGTATTTATTAAGCAAGGATTAATTATAGATCTATATCAGACAATCTTCCAGCTTCCTTTTTTTCATTTTATTAGTGTAAACTTTGCCAAAACCTTGTATACAAAATAAAGCTTCCTGCGTATATGTGTAACCACGTGTAGTTCTATGTATTTTCACAGTGCAGGCAGAACGTGCAGTCACCACTCGATTTACGAGACAACATTACGGCTTGACTGACCCTCGGGTAAGGTTTTGATTCATTTAATTCATTTTCGAAAACAGCTGAAAGTTTGTCTAGAACCCAGATATGATTATCAAGCTGTAGCATATCTTAATAATTGATAGAAAATAGGCAATACTTATTTTTCATTTCAATGCTTTCTGTTTTCCTTGCATCTTTGAATAAACAATGAGAAGTCACTGATTGGTGTCCAGCTTCATCCATCTTTAACAAGTGGACGGACCCCATGCCTAGAATCAAAGTAGGGCAGACCACCACAGTAAATATGAAGGAGTTTCAATCTGACGGCTGTTTAATGTCACTTAACCTGGGCGTCTACCTTGTAGTGATTTTATCATGACTCAAGGCTCTCTGTTTTTCACTCATCTTTTATAATTCATGTTCAGGCTAACCAGAACCCAAGGTTGGGCATACATGTAAAAACATGCATCCTGAAGCAAATTTGTCATTGTTTCAAATAACCCGATCTAATAATTTCAACCGTTTACTATACACAAATGTATACCGGTTTGCTTTCTGAAATGCAATGATTTCTTTCTTCCTGTACTTTCATTCACCGGTATAAATCAGTGCTGTAGGTCTCGAGACCGGTCTCGGTCTCGGTCTCGAGACCACTTTTTGCCGGTCTCGGTCTCGGTCTTGGTCTCGGGAGCTGTGGTCTCGGTCTTGGTCTCGGTCTCGGTCCCCTTTGGTCTCGATATTTTGGCTGGTCTCGAGTCGAGACCAGCCAAAAAGTGAGGGGGCGGACTCCGCCCCCGGCCCTTTTAGGGTTAAGGCCAAACAAAAAAAATTGTGTGTTTACGGTAACCCGACCGACCTGGAATTTTTTT